GTTTTTTATGTGTTTTTTTTTATTTCTTAGAATCAGATGGAGCTCGTGAAGGAATTCTACGAGCCAATCACACCTCAAGTCCTAGCAAGTGTGCAGTATAATGCAGAACAAGAGTACGAGTTCTCTCGACGAGATGACTCGTTGAAAACTTCTGGCGCGTCAGTCATGGGATGGAGCGATTTCCGCAAGATAGAGGAGTCATCAGTCAAGTTTGTGCTCTCCAAAGGGTTCCCGAATGTACGGGCGCTACATTTGGTGAACTTCACTTGGGATACGCTGTCGACTCCTGCAACCTACGCACGGTTCTTCAATCCTGCAATCCCAATCAAGGTTTGTTTTTTTTATTGTTTTAAACTTATTTAAATCATGCGTTGACAGTTTTTTTCTCAGGTGCAAGTCCTGCAGGTGGTTAACCGCGACGCTCTGGTGATTCATCGTGTGCTCTTTAACCCACACACCCAGAGTTCATCCAATTCGCTGGAGTTGCTGTGGCGTGTTCGACTGGGAGATGAATACGTGGTTTTCGACACAGCCTTGCAACACAACGCCGTTCAGCAATGTCTCGGTGCATCTTACAAGTGGACTCAAATGACGACGTCGCTGGGCTTTGCTCCATTAGACGTCAGTCGCGACAGTGGCTGCGTGCTCCGTCATGGTGGTTGGATACGCACCTCCATCACCAACGTCAAGTATTGGTTCATGGAGATGTTCTTCATGGCGTTGCGTTTCGAGAGCACCATGGTAGCACCAGTATTCTCACTGCCATCTGAGGAATGACCCAGACCTCTACATGATATACGAACAGCAAAACTGGATATCCGGATCGAACGGATAGATAGGTTTTAAACCATCTCACAGGCATATAGCTTCACAAAATGTGTAATGGCTACAGAATATGATGAGTAATCGGACCAAAACGTAAATCGCCTCTCGTCTCATCTCCCACCATTGACAAGCATGGCACCTGTGCCACCCCTTCCGCTGCACGACCTGGCTCCGTTGCTGCTACGCCGCGAGCGCCAATGCAATGACATCGACGTGGAGCTATTAGCCGATGCATTGCGTGGGGGTCGCGAGGCCAATCGCCGTCGCAAATTGATGGTGGAGTTGGTGCGTCGTCATCCAGTGCTGTCCCAACGAAACTCCATCTACCAGAACCACGAACAGTGCTGCGCTGAGGGCTTGAAAAAGGCTTTCCACTACATCAAACTAGTGCAAGATCAATGTGTTGACGACCCTCGCGACCAACAGGAATTGTACGTGGCACTGGGCGAGCGTTTGCCACTCGAAGTGCATCGTGCCATGTTCATCCCGACGCTCGAGAACCAGGCAGATAGTGCGCAGCAGGCTAAGTGGTTACCGCTTGCAAGAAGCTTCAAGATCATTGGAGCCTATGCGCAGACGGAATTGGGTCATGGATCCAATGTACAGGGCATTGAAACTACTGCAATGTACGACAAGGAAACACAAATGTTCGTCATCAATTCCCCGACGCTGACGAGTCGAAAATGGTGGCCAGGAGGTCTAGGCAAGACCGCAACGCATGCTATTGTGCATGCCAAGTTGTATATTGATGAAGATAACAAAGGTGTCCAAGCATTCATTGTGCCTTTGAGGTCACTGAAGAACCACACGCCGCTACCTGGGATTGAGATGGGAGATATCGGGCCGAAGGTGGGCTTCAACTCACTGGACAACGGATACGCAGTCTTCCGCAACGTGAGGATTCCAAGACGAAACATGCTCATGAAGTATGCAAAAGTACGGAAAGACGGGACGTTCATCAAGCCCAAGAGCTCCAAACTCGTGTACCTGACCATGACACAGGTACGAGCGTATTTGATCCTCAAGCTGAGCTTCATTCTTGGAGCGGCCACGACCATCACGACGCGATTTAGTGCTGCTCGCGTGCAAGGAAAGAGAGCAAAATGTAACGATCTGACGAAGGAGTATCAAGTGCTGGACTACCAGAACCAGCAACACGTGCTTCTACCGCTGATAGGACTGGCCTACGCAGCCAATTTCGCGGGTAGAGCGATAACAGCATTGCATGATGACACGTTGGAATTGGTGAAGAGAGGTCACGGCTCTTTTGCGACGCAAATTGCAGAGGTTCATGCTGTGTCTTCTGGTTTGAAGGCGTTGCTGGCAGACCGAGTGAATGATGGTATCGAGCAATGCCGTCGACTGTGTGGAGGTTGCGGCTTCCTCCAGTCTAGTAACTTGGCTCATCTCTTTGCTGAGAACGTGGGTGCATGCACATTCGAAGGCACCTTCGACGTGCTGGTGCAACAGCATGCTCGGCACCTCTTAAAGGCACACGCTCGTCTGAGTCGCAGTAAAGTTAGTGGAGTTGACGAAGAGGAGACTCCTACCAGCTTCCTACGCTTCGCTGATCTGTACAACGACCCTCGTCTTCGATGCAATGCCTACCGTGCGGAAGACTTCGGAAAGTTCCATGTGCTTACGGATGCTTTAGAGGTACGCGCGGCTCGCTCGATCCAGCGACTTGTTGAGGCTATGGAGACCTCAGGAAACGACAGAAACTCGTGTATGCTGCTCATGACCACAGTGTCGACACACCACGCAGAGTTAATGCTGCTGAAGTCTTTCATCTCGGGAGTGTACTCTTTACCAGCGGGTAAGACGAAAGCAGCCGTAGCACAGCTTTGCCAGCTCTTTGGGGCGTCACTACTAGTAAGGGGGTTGGGAGTTTTTCGCCAGGATGATTATTTCTCCAACGCTCAAGGGGAAATGGTGCACCAGCATCTACAAAAGCTGCTGGTTCCAGTGCGTCGAAATGCTGTACGGTTGACAGATGCCTGGGACTTCAGCGACTTTGAACTCAACTCAACTATCGGTCGGTACGATGGAGACATCTACCGTGCTCTTGTGGAGCAAACAAAGCGTGAGCCATTGAATGCCTCCCAAGTGATTGATGAATATGACAAGTACCTGCGTCCCCTAATTCAGTCGGCACTGTAATTTGAGTTACGTATTCGCGATTACGTAACTCATTACGGAAGGTTTACAGTAAAACCCTAATTTAGAGTTAAAGACCCCTTAATACTACTGTAACTCTTAGCGTCGCTTGCAAACTACACGCCTTCCGCTGGTTCAAGTACCCAGCCAGTGCTGGGGTTGGGTAGTCCTGGAGCTAGAATGTTTATAGGCAAGTGTAGACGAACGTCGGGACACCATGGAATATCACACTCGACGTCGATACGGTATGCACAGGCGATGAGGTCGCTTTTGGTAGATGGTTGTAGATGGCCACTGCTGGTCGAGATCAACGTAAGCGGCTGTGGTTGTGATAGTGATGCACCCGGAGGCACACCAGGGAATGCACTCTCGCACATGAGCTTGGTAAGCGTGCGATAGGAACCTTCTTTAGTGATCTTCACTGTGATATCCTGGTATAGTTTGCAGCGCATAGCTGTGATCTCAACCGTGGATCCATTGGTGATGTTACATTGGATTTGAGCGGTCTCCCCGGGAAAATATACGCTCTTATCCATTGCCACTGCGAGTTGACATGTACCACGGTTAAAGCAGCACAGGAACTTTACATCTTGAGTGGTGGAGTCCTCGCTTGGGACGAGCTCTTTGAAGTTGCGTTCATGAACGACCAGATTGCAGTCTGCCTTCAAGTCCGAAGAGAAGAACCCGTTGACATCGAGTGTCGCTTTGAACTTGTACTTGATCTTAGCTGACAGATTCACGATGTCTCCCTGCGAATACCCGGCGATGTGGAACACTCCAGGCAGCTGAGCTGGGAGCTGGTACTCGAACGGATACGAATAGCGTCCTGGAGTATAATTTCGACCAGAGGTAGCGCAAATAACAATCTTTTGCTTGAAAAACTCGTTGCCAAGATGGACTTGGTCACGGTGAACGGTTGTTTCGCCATCACGCGTCTCGTGTCGAACGTGCGTAAGCTCCACTTTCTCCTTACCCGATACTTTGAGCACCAACGCTGTATTTACAGACCTTCAGTTTCAGCCATGATACGCTAAAAGTGATGCGAATGAACGTCTTCTTACCGTCGCACTCGATGGTATCGTGGATGGAGACGTGAATGGTTCCAACCACAAGATCACCAGCAACATAGGACGGCTTGTCGACTGTGATGCCGATCTTGCCCTTGTCACCAAAGCCGAACAACTTGCCCAGCTTCCCCATGCTCCTCGAAGAGACACCTAAAAGTTTTCTAAAACGGAAGTGCCGGCCATACACGACGCTTGACCTTACGATAACTCAAAAGCGTTCCTTGGCGGCTTATCACTTCACTTCGGGCCAGTGAAGCTGTGCAGTGAAACAACGATTAACCGTACAGCGAGTGGAGCACGAACCTGGCGAGCTCAACTCCATCTTCCAACCACGGAGATCCTAAGTTATCACTTGGGACGAGCTGCTGCCGGTTGGCTGTGGCAAATGCCTACGTGGCTGAACGATGGCGTCCGGATATGCTAAGCATCGAGCCCTTTCCTCTGCAGTAAACGCATTGTGCCTAAACTTCTGCGCTAGGTATGGACGGTGTGGATGCTGTTGTGCTGGGGAAGGAAGTTCGGTTGAAGGCGGTTCGCTTCAACGAGAACTTGTGACTTGAGCCGGACGCCGGTACACCTGGTGTGGAGGCTCCACAGGAGCGATATGATGAGTCAAGCTCAGCTCGAACGAGATTTGCTGGTCGTCGTTGGCTTACGGCTTTAACCTTGAAGCGGCGGCGCTTCAAGAAGCTTGCGAACGCTCGCGTCGAAGACGTTCAGCGTCACATCGAAGTGGAATACAATCAAGGCGACAACTCACCTTGAAACAGAACAAGTTGCCAATTGTACATGCAACCTTGCAACTTCCAAGTTGGAAGCAAGGCAAATGCTTCCATTGCGAGATGGTTGGTTCTCTTGCGCTTCAACTGAACTGCTGTGTCCTTGCACGCCTGCTGTTGTGGACGTTCGTGCAGCGCAAAATGCTTGCGCTCCACCGAGCGTAGACAAGGCACAAGGCGTGATCCCAGGCCTAGAAATGATTCATGATAAAAAATTCATCAGTCAACGTTCATCGTGAATCTTCCTCGACCGTGAAGTTCACGAACCTTCGGCCGAGAGTATGCAGATTACGCCTGACGCTCTGCCTTCCTTCTTTGCTCGATGGCAGACGACGTCCGCGACAAATCTGCCTTGCATGCGTTCGGTTGCGAGATATCAGGAATGTACGGGGCTCATTGCCCGCAGCGCCGTACATGTTGAATGATATCCAGCCCAGGTCAGGTGCAGCAGCTCACTAGACACTAATGGAAGGCATTTGATGCTGGAAACTCAATGGTAGATGCTGTATTTCTTTGGTACAGGAAGCTAGCACGCAATCAATTATACATGTATAGCTTGAATACATAGGGGGTTGGTCGCGTGCACTTCCTTTCGGCTACACGCGTCCGAGGCGGGTCGATGATAACGAAAGGAGCTCAGAAGAGCAGCTCCAATAATTCGCTAGCACAGTCTTCGAGCGTCGGGAATGCACCCGAATCGCTGGCTGTAGAGTCCAACGGCACGAGGTCGTCTTTGCCGAATGCATCCATCTTGATCACGGGGTCAAACGTACCCACGTTCAGCCAGGTGTTGCCGAGCGTGTCATCCGGGGACACCGGCGAGCCGGCAATAGAGACAACCGATGACTTGGAGTCGAGGATCTCGATAGCGTCCGCAATGGACATGTAGATCTTGCTGGCGTCGTCCATGTGCGGACATTCCTTCTCAGTGCAGGTGCAGGGTAGTCGCATCTTCGAGTAGGAACCCAATCCGAGTCCGCCGGCGGACGACGGTGTCTGCAGTGTCCGCTGCGCTAGAGCGCTATCGACTGCGATGCCCCGGTGGGCATTGTGCAGTCCGTGCCGCGCCGCCGCCTGTTTGCGCTGTGCCTCGCGCAGTCGGCGCGCAGCTTTCAACCGGTACTTTTGCGCGTGGGTCATGGTTTGGCGTACGTTGCGCGTACCGACGTAGGCGGCCACACGCTTCCAGGGTCCACTCGAGAAGAGCTTGACGCCTTCGAGGAAGCGGGCGTGCTCTTCCTCCGTCCACATACCAACGCCGACCGATGGTTTGCTGCTGCTGTACTGAGGAGCGGATTGACGCATTGCAGTCTGTAGGCTCATGATGTTTTCGCAGAGAATTGAGGAATGGAAAACGATTGCGGTGGTGTTGCAGTAGTTTGCTGTGGGGTGGAGTAGTGGAGTAGTGTCCAGCTCGCTTTTTTCGTGTTTGCTCGCTGCCGCAGATTTGTGAATGAAGGCTCGTGGAGACTTTGAACGGCAGAGACACTTCAGCTCAAGGAGAGCGTTGATGCGGCCGTAGTACCCACTATGCTCCTCTTGGTCTCCTCAGTCACACGCCCATCATGGCGCTCGAATCCTTGATGCGAGCAGCTATTGAGCCAAAGGCCCTCACCGCACAGCCGTAAACCAGCGCTTCAAAATCCAGCCTGGCCGGGGATGCTTCAACGGTGTTTACTTTTGAGATCCTGTAGGTGTCGCGAGGCAGATTATGACCAGCTTCCCAAACCAGAATTTCACGCTGGAGGAGTAGAGCGGCCTTGTCCCAAAGGTTTACAGATAAAGCAACAGCAGGCGCGTTGCTCGACACATGGTAGGGGGCTTGCAGGCCTGATTGTAGTTATCGGTGTTGTCATCCTGAAGAATAGTTCACTACGGTGGAAACCCTAGTGCTGTCAACACAGAAGGGTATCTTTACAGTACTTTGCGTTCGATTACTAGCGCAGGGGCTGGAACCACGTGAAGCAGCAACATGAAACCACGTGGCTCGAGTGACGTGAAAGCGGAGCGCCGGGTGCTCGATTTGTCCTGATGTTGTCGGCAGGAAGAGGACATACCAAGCCTGCAGCGTACGGTCAAGAAACGTGACAAAACTACGGCTGCTCTTCGTCAAACCACGAGAACCTTGACGCTCAAGGTTAACGTGAATTTTACTAACAAGTACAGGCCGCGAAACATCGATGAGTTTCTCGTTCTAGAATTTAAGAGTGAATTGCACAGGAGATCAGCTTGAAGCGGAGCATTCGGATAAACATAACTAAATGCGTCAGCGTTTAACAAGGTGGTGCCGGGAAGGTTTCCTGTCGCATCGGGTGGGCCGGGGCCGACAGCTGCAGCTCGGAGCGGCTATCCCCATGTTAACTGCTTCCTTTGACTGTAGGCTGACAGTATTGCTTCAACTTGATCAGTGCAGCTTCCAGAAGCACTCCGAAGCGAGTGCAGCTCTCAGCGGATTGTCGTTAGCGCCGCTGGGCGTGTCGCGGTGGTGGACCATAGCAATGTCAATCACGATTTACGAAGCGCTGAATGCGAGTCCAGGAACAACAGGACGAACCGACAGTGGTGCATAGCATTCCTTTTCGGCGTCGGCATTTTTGGCTTCGAAGCAATCTATGCTTTTGGTGCTTGTAGACAAGATGGTGCAGAAGCCTGGAAGCGCTCAGAAGCAGGAACCTTTTCGAAGCGGCAGCCACTCGTTTAACAGCGTGCATCCGCGATAGGCGGACGCACGAACGAGGAGGAGCGTGTGCATGCCCATCGACAAATGCTGACTCGCTGAGCAGCGCGAATGGGGCGGCCATCTGGTGAACGCGTTGAAGCTGTCCGTCGACATTGTTTATGGTGGAGCGAGTGTTGGTGCTCGTCAGCTTCAGGAGCTTCAACGTGAATAATCCTCGTGGCATGCTTTCGCAAGACTCGCACTGTAAAACAGATCGCCATCGCGAAAGCATGCGTCGGAGGGCGTCATTAACCCCCCTCTCAAAGCATCGGAGCTCACCGACGTGGATCGCGTGATGCCTCAGTGTTATCTAGAATCGTATCCCTGGGATCCCAGGCTTTGAAGGATTCTCGCTGAACTTTCACCCACGAAGTTTTTGCTGGCATTGCTCGCCTAGCCGACATCAAATACCCGACAAAAGACACCACCCCGCGTGGAGAGGTGAGGAAATACATGTTGAAGCTTTTTTATCTATCGTCCTTATTAGGCTTTGTATTCAATTCTTTTAAATTAACATCTCGAATACCGCGGTTGGACTTATCCTACCTTTGATGAATTCATACATACTTGATTCAGTTGCGAATCATGTTTTACGTGACACTAAATGTTAAAATAGTAGTTGAAGTAGCTCTGTGGCGCATTCCTCAAGTGTCGGGATGGTTGTGAGGTCCTCAAGGAGGTCGATCTCCTTCATATCCAGCATGGTTGCATCCAGACACGCTAATTCCTCCGGTGATGCTGATTCTATGGTGTTGTGATTGCCCGACGGCAAGGTCTCAGTAGCTAGAAGACTGCTATTCCTTGGCGAAGAATGGTCGACCGGAATCGGCTCACACGCGAGGTGATGGCAGATGTTGTTTTTTGCCGCTCCCATGGACCGAAGACGCTCCTGCACTAAGGTTTCTTCACTCACATAATGTCCGAAGTGCATACGCATGAGCGCCTGCTTAGTGCGCAGGCCGCGCAGACGACGTGCAGCCTTTTGACGGTACTTCTGCGCATGGGTCATCGTTTGCCGGACGGTGCGTGTACCCACATACGCGGCGACGAGTTTCCACGGGCCGTTGGTGTAGACCTTGATCGCCTCGAGGAATTTGGTGTGCTCCTCTCTACTCCACACACCTGTGCCCATGCCGTTCGGACTTGTCTGTCCTCGCGGGGAGGACTCGTCGTCCGTATACGACGACCAGGTATCAGAGTCGACCTCGATCAAGTCCACCGACTGTCGCAATTGTTCGTCGTTCACTTCGGTGTGCGTGTCGGTCGACAGAGCTCCGACTTGAGCGTTGGAAGCGTTCATTGTCGAGATAAGCGAGCTGAGCAAGAGCTACGTCTTTGCAAGGTGGACTTGGCTAGACGAATGTGCTTAACACCGAGCAAATTCGCGAATACTCGAGGTGTAAACTAGCTTTTGGCCGCTGGCGATCCTTGAGCCCTGGCCTTTTCTGTTCTTGGCGTATGAGTCGTGCTCTCATCTCCGTAGCGTTGGTTCATTTAATAGCGGAAATCATTGGCAGCGGTTGCTGTAAACCTCGGAAAATCTACACAAGCGTTTCGTAACGTTCGCATGTTGGCCGATGACCGTGTACCGCGTCGATATCGCAAGTTTTCCGTGGATTTTTTTGTTGGTCAAGCAGAGTCGCCGCTGAACTCTACACCCGTGGTGCTTAGATACCTCACATGAATGTTTGGTTGTGATTGAGTTGCAGAGTGTCGTCGTGAGCTCGCTACGATGATTGAGGACGCAACGTGTCTTTGTAATCTCGGGTGAAGAGGTGAGATAGTTTTTCAGCTCAAGGAGTTAGAGTCGCTTTTCTTTACCGCTAGTCGTTTTTCACGGTCGACTCAGCGTTCCCAGAGGTCGACAATATGATATGTCCAGACGAGCTCCGCTAAATTAGAAGGCGTTAGCGCCGCAACATGTGAGTGTACAAGACAGCGGTGAAACACGAACTAAAATAGAAGTATCAGAAGCAGAATGATACCCTTATCAAGTGCTCGCAAAGCAACTTACCTAGTGGCGGCGCCGACTATGATGTTGAGGTTAATTTCGGCTGGAACTTGAGAAAGCTGAGCCTGGTTTGCCTTTACAAAGTATAGCACTCGTCTGACGCGACCTCCAAACAGTACAATCGATCCCTTTAGGGTGATTTGGTTTGCGGGGTGTGATCAGCGATATAACTGTACCGTTCACTCCTCGTGCTGGTCAAATGAGTGGCGCCACCAGCAAATAGTATAGGATACTTTCCTGTTCAACGCTAGAAGCCTGAAAACTGTTAGTCCGCTCTTTCTACAGTCTTGAGGAGGGTATCCATGCCGCCTACCGATACAGTAGCTCGACCGCAACCACGAATTCGGTGCATTCTTGCAAATTCTGGTGGCCAATCTGATATTGTGTGGTATTGATAACTAGCACATATCGCCCCCCGTTACCTTCATGAGTCTTAATTACTTTCACTGAATCAGTGGCAATCTGACAAGCAATCGAGACGCCCTTCAAGACCCTGAGGCAGCACAGCGTTGCATGTCGCCAGCTCTACGATTTCTGCGACCACGTCGGTATCGGTATCGGTAAAGTTTTCTGTACCGCACCGTAACGTAATGGTTGCAGTCGAATGGCTTCAGACTTAAGATTCTTGACTCAAGATTCTTAAGTAGCTACATGACCCAAAACTGTCCTTAAGAGTTAATGATTCGACTGGATAAAGACGTTGAGGATCTAACCGTTTAATTTCATAACGTAATTATGATTATCTATGTATTCAGGATATTAGTTTAAGCATTTATAGAACATACTCATTCTAAGCCAATAGGGTTTTGCGTCATTTGAACACGATTAGAATCCGAAGGCTTTGTGACTCTTTGCGATGTCCGATATCTTGAAAAAATGAACGAGCTGTGGAGCTCGTCGCCGTGTGCTGATGCTTCGGACGACTCGATCCGAGAGGTGCCGGTCGCATCGGTAGTGCCCCGCGCACTGGGGGTGCCAGCCAAGGTCAGACGCCGACTCACGGAGCTGCAGGGCGTGGCGCAATTGGGATTTGGGGGTTGTGGAGGCATGTACAACTACTTCCTGGGTGTGGCGTCCGTCTTGCAGGAGGAATACGACCTTCGAGATGTGATATTCTCCGGCGTGTCGGCTGGATGCTTCCCAGCATTGATACTGGCGCTGGGTATGGATGTCAAGGAGTTCTTCTTCAAAGAGAACGTCCCGTTGATTGAGCAAGCGGCAGAATGCTCCTATGCTGGGCTGGGCAAGTACGTTACCTAAGTATTAGGGCGCATGACAAGCGAAATACTGACGTTTGGAGTGATTTCTACCGTGTAGATGGATCCCCATGGTCAAGCGCAACATGTTGAATGTGCTGCCGTTGGACGCGTATCAACACGCAGACAAGAAACTCTATTTCTCAGTCACTGAGGTGCCTGCATTGCGCAACCACCTCCTTACGACTTGGATAAGCAATGAAGAAATGCTGGACTGCATGCTGTGCTCAGCTCATGTGCCACTCTACACGACGTCGCTGGCGGCATCATACCGCGGGAAGCGCTTCGTCGACGGTGGCTTGACTAACAACAATCCAGTGCCCCACCCGGATGCACCACACAAAAACTTCCAGATCTGGAAGTGGCGCTGGTTTTCACCCACGTGGATACTCGTGACAACAAACTCCGACTGGGCAGTCGAGTTATTCCGTATGGGTCGTGAGGATGCTACCAAGAATCTACACGAGGTAGATGACGTGTTCTTCTAGACCCAGTAAACCGGTTAATCGCTGAAAGGGAACATATCTCGTCCGAAACAATACGTTCTGTCCGTTGTAGCTGAGAGACAAGTAATTGACAATATCTAGAGCTCTATCTAACGTGACGATAAAGACGCCTTCACTATGAAACATGAGAATGAGTTGCTCAGCAGCCAAACTGTACGATAGCTCAACCGTTCCAGACTCAGGAATCATGCCGCATAACAGATCGTGTAAGGCGTGTAGTACACGGTTGGCCGCTGCAGCGTTCATCCCCCCCTTCCCCACGATCCACATCGGCTCAAATAGCCCAAGTGAGAGCGATATACCGAGCTGTGTACGTAAGTTGATCGACGATATTGAAAAAGACAAGTGAGTACCAGCTTGCCAGACCTTATCTTCTTTCTGCAGTTGAACGCATCAGGTGCCACATGCATCACATTGAGCGTGTCAAGCTTCGACAATGCACTTGTTCGCATCACGATGAGCGTATGCTCCAAACATGAGCGGATAGTTCTCTGCAGCGTCTTTATAAGCGAACAAATGGTAAATGTCTGAATAGATGGTGTAGATCTGCAACTCGATCAACTGCTTCTCCACACTCAACACCACTTCTCCGTAGTCGCCGTACTCACTTGATTCCCGTTGGAACCCGTCAGATTCAGTATCGTTGACGCATAACCCGACAGGTTTGTCTCTACATACGTGAGCACTTGGTAGTGTTCGTCGTCCAGGGTCAGATCTGCGTCAGGATGTTCCGACTTGAGTTTTGTGGACTCGAGTCTGGCTCAAGGTTCGTAGTAAATCTGCGCATGTGCGCGCGAGTTGCCCTGCCCGTCACAAGTTTTTTTGATCTCCAGTTCACTCTGTAGAGGTTTCGTTCCGAGCGCATTGCGTGCGTCCATGCCCATGCAAGAAGCGAAGACGGCCAAAAATGACGTCGAATCAATGGCGATCGCTCTAAAATGGTGTCGTCCAAGGCGTCCTGAGCCATATCGAGTGAGTATTCTACGATGGACTTGTCTACCCTCTTGCGACTGCCGCATGAAAATTGGTAGAAATCGTCGCACGGTCGATGAATGTGTCAACGAGGGATGCCACATTATCGGGAATGCTGGGCGGCAGTGCCAGCAAGAACGCACACCGGGCGATAGAATAGGACCATCAGCTCAGCGCGTTTTGTCACGTAGCGCCACCTCGAAGCCTTTAACTGCGCATGGCGGCCTTACTGAGTCGAAACACACAATGGCATTAACCATCAAGAAGCGACTGAATTTCCGTTGACAACCATGATCGCATGTGATTATGCCCAATGAGTTGTAGCCACCGCAAAATGGATCACTTTTAACCTGTCATATCGAATTTTGTACCATCTGTACCACCATAGTCTAAACGTATCCATTAATCACTTACCCTCTACAACCTTATTCTGAAACATCGAAAAGTCTTCGCTTGATCTCATTCTTGCATTCCCGCGTCCTGTGCGCACTTGGATCATGTTGCCGGACGAGGCCACATCGGTCGTCAAAGCCGAGGAAGACGTCGACGTCTCCGGCACCCGCACGAAGCGTACGAAGTCCAAGACGCGAGCCAAGAAACGCGACGCCGAGATGTCTGGGCGACGCCCCAGTAGCGAGAAACCCCGTCGCTCGACGCTGAAAAGTCCGCAACAGAAGCGCGAAGACTCGAGCGCCAACCTCGTGGGCTCGTCAGCGTCCTCTGGCGACTCGGACGAGCGCGACTCGAGCTCCAGCAGCGACAAGAGCCACAAGAGCCACAAGAGCAGCGAAAGCGGAGGCGTTACACGGCGTCGCAGCAAGCGAAACCCTAAATCAAACCCTAGCGACACAAAGAGTGAGCGTCGCTACTCTTCATCCACCCCAGAGCCCGGAAAATTCAGGTACTTAAAGCCTGACGAGATCCAAAGCGGACAACTACCCGACTATGACTTCGCAGTCATCGTGAACCGCAAAGTCCACTTACCTGGCTGTATGAAGCGAGCAATTTGCTGCATCTGTTGCTGTTCCACTTCCGCTGGCCAGTCGACAGTGCCCAGAACCCCCATGGACAGTATCGCTGATGCTAATCACGAACGCTCAGGCTTTAAGCGCCTGTGTATGGCCAGTCCACCTGTGTTGAATGAGAGCGAAGACGAACACCGTCGCATCGTGAACAAACTGTGCAGCCAAGGCCTGCTCGTGGATATCATCGATGGAGGCGATTCCAAGGGCGAAATGCACTCTGGATACCTGATTCTCCTGATTCGAGCGCCTGATACCGTGGTCATGTCCTTGGTCAAGCAATTCCGGACCAAGATGTGGATGGAACACGGCGCTGTGGTGGACATGGAGCAAGACGTGGCTCAACGTCGAGATGACCCCACGACTCCAGCCGAACGTATTGAAATTGTGGATTTTATTATCGAGCAACGCGCACGACTGTCGAAAAGTGATATCTGGATCCACGACCTCTTCCCCATGCACAACCAGAGCGTGACCAATACGTTGATCCACCGATGGGTTACGTCCTGGCGGTTGCATGAACTGGACGACAAGAAAGTTTTGCGTTCTTTACGCTACAATTTCGGTGAAAAAGTGGCGTATTATTTCGCGTTCCTCAAATATTACAACACGTGGCTGATTCCACTCGCTGCTATCGGGATTTTACTGGAACTTCTACGTGGAGTGATCTCCATGACGTCGTATATGCGGTTGCTGCCTTTCTGGGGTCTTGGGGTGTCGGTGGTGTGGGGATTTGGCTTCCTCAAGTCCTGGGAACGCGAGAATGCGTGTATGCAGTATGATTGGACGGGCAAACTGCATGTGAAGCAGATTGAGTATCGCAACAAACAGTTTTACGGAGAATCAAGGGTGAACGCCTTAACAGGAGAGACGGAGTTGGTGTACCCGGCGTGGAGACGACTGCCCAAGTACTTTTGCGTGTTTCTTTTCATGTTGTTGCAAATGCTGATCATGCTGATACTGGTGGCCAGCTGGGTTACGATCTATGAGATCTTGAAAGCTACATACAAGGAGAGTTACATCTTCTCGGTCCAGTGGCTACTGATCTTACTTGAAGGCATTGTTTTCGGGTTCTTCGTGGACGTTGTGCAGTGGAATATGGTGGTGACCAAGATGGGTGCGTTGTTCACCCATTGGGAGAATTACCGGACTGAAGAACAGTACGAGAAGGCGTTGATCCGCAAGCTTTTCCTGCTTGATTTCCTTAATTACTACACGTGGTTCTTCTCGCTGGCTTTCGTCTTTGTGATCCCGGGACTCGGGAATTACTTGACGAACACGTTCAACCACATGTTCTTTGGCGACGAGATGAACTGCTGCTTCGGGCCTTATGTAGACCAAGACGGCTCGTGTACCATGTGTCCTGTTGGAGACAAGGACGCTAATTGTATCGAGTGTGTCGGCTTCTTCACGTTTGATCGCCGTCACGTGGATTTGAGTGCCATGTTCGTCACCCCCATTGTCATCACGCAGTCGTTGAACATCTTACTGAGATTGGTGGCCCCCATACTAGTACGCAAGCGTCGTGAAAAAGCGCAAGCTCGTGCTGATGCTCAAGCGCAAAAGCGTGTTCGTGAAGCAGGCTCAATGAAGATTTTGGGCTCTTTGGACTACGAGAACCAGAAGGAATCGCAGTTCGGCAACAAGTCCAGCTCTCGATACCTGGAGTATACCCCATCAGAGATCGAGGTGCTTAATAAGAAGGCACGGCAGATCCTTTTCGACAGCGAGCAAGACACGTACGACCCATACGATGACTTCCACGTTTTGACAGTGCAGTATGGATTCACTGTCATGTTCTCGATGTTATGGCCACTAATGCCGTTCGCGTGCTTCCTGATCAACAGCGTCAAGGGCCGTACTGATGGCTATCGACTCTGCAAGACACTGAAGCGCCCGATCCCTCGACGAGCGAATGGTATTGGAGCTTGGAAGGGGATTCTCACAACATACGCGTACATCGCAGTGATTGTCAATGTGCTGCTTATCTGCATCTCGACTGGCGTGCTCGAGTTCTTTGATGAAACGTGCGTGATTGACATTGAGCATCAACTGGAAAAACAAGGGAAAACACTGGACGATTTCGTGTTCGGACCGAATTTTGGCTGTCTGCATATTGCTTGGCGCTTGCTGTTTATTCTTCTGCTGGAGCATTTGTTCGTGACGGTGGCGTATGTGGGGATGCAGCGTATTCCTCATGTGCCCAGTTGGATTAAGAATGTCATGAGCTCTCGGGAGAACAAGTTTAAAACGCTGTTACGTGAACACGAGCTGGAATTATTCCCTCCTAACACTAGTGAAGGGAATAGCGGTACAGCTGAAAATGATAAGAAGACGGGGTCATCTGACCCGTTCCGGATCGATATCAAGCGGCTTGTGGGGTTTGGAGGGAACACTACCAGCATGTCGAGTCACAGTACTCGCTCTTCATCCGCTCAGCCGTCAGCTCCACCTTCGACGACTGCGGTGCCTCCTCGCTCGATATTAATCGACCCCATGACGCCACTCTCACGCGCTCCTAGTGATTTGGAGTTCCCGACCAGCACTGGAGTTCGCACCAAAGCTCGTGAAAAGCTGGCACGGCAATGGTCGGATGGCTCAGACCACTAATTAAGATCTGTAGCTAAGGTTGCAAGGCTCAAATGAAAGTAAATATGTATTGACGTTTCTTGAAAGTTGGTTGCAACAAAGAACAAGAACATTAACCCCCTTCATTCTTTTGAAGGTGGTTTCAACAGCAATGGAAACGTGACTACCGATTTTTCGCTCAGGTTGCTGTTGCAGTAGTCAGGGATACAGTATACTTCCTCCTCGCGAAATGATTGGTCTATTTAGTTTTTGTAGGTGGAGATAATGATTGGGTATACTAACAAGTCAAAATATTTTTTGTCAGAAATATCAATTTCGATGAAAGGATCAGCTTCAAGCGCAGTCGCAAAAAGACTTTTTGGGCATACTTGTACTTCTGGAAGCTTGGCTTCACGCTGCAACTTCTGCTTTCCTATGTGCGGTAAAATGTATTCGTTTCCACCTTTGGTCTGTAAAATGCACAACATGACACTCTGCAGAGTCAGAAATACATCGTTTAGAGTAGTATGCGGCAACACATCGAAAGCTGACACGACTGCAGCTATCAAATCATCAACACAGTAATGTGGGGTGTTAAGCTGGATGGTCTGGATCGACGAGAAACAACGGAGATCGAGCACATATAGGTCCGGTGAATTGGGTGGCTGGCAGAACAGACGAATGATCCATCCATCGGCAGTCCCAGCTGCCACGATGTCGGGGTCGTGCGGGGAGACGTGGGGCTTGGCGTTATCTTGCTGAATCAGAATGGGCTTGTCTTAATCTTGTGCGGGCCACTTACGCTTGATTGTAGGTGTGACCTCCTTCAGCAAAAACTCCTTGATGACGTCTCGGTCGATAGACGCAATATTCCTCGTGAGAACTGTCCCTGCTGAGCGGTTAGCGCTGTTTCGTTGAGCGGTGTAGTCCTCGACTAGCGGCCAGATCCCAAGCTTGCCATCAAACATGGCTTTGCGATGGTAGTCGTATCTGTACAGAGCCCATTTAGTATCATAGTAATCCATATAACAATTTATCAAATCTCGTAAGTTTTACCTCGGACGGGCAACTGCTGCCAGAAACATAGTCTTAGGGATGGATCGTTTGCTTCGGCGGTGGCGCTCTGGAAGTTCTTCGTCGGGGAGAACCAAGAAGGTGCGCTCAGTGCCTGTTAGGTTGGCCTCGGTGCCTGTCAGCACTTTAATAGCAGCGGCTTCAAACTCTGGACATTATACGATCTCGGCATCCGGGGCTAAGATAAAAGGCACATACATAAAGCTAATATAATAAAATAGATGATGATAATAACTCACCAATGTGTGTCGAAAATGACACTTCGAGAAGTCCGTAAAAAAAGCCTCAGCGTCAACAATTGTCAACGACTCGGACTGCAATCTCTTGGAAACAGATTCCACATCTCGCAGTATGTCCAGCAGCTGCTCCATCGCGTGGTGGGTGGCGCGGCTGGGGATAAGCCTGTCGAGCTCGTTGTCGTCCGCCAAAATAAACTCGCGAAGTGGGAAATACCAGCCGAGCACCGCGTCTCTTGGCTGAGGATGGACAAAGTAACGTTTACTTTATAAAAGAAACAAAAATAAAATTAAATTATGGTAAAATACAAAAATAAAGTATGACGTACCGTAGCTTTGCGGCTTGCACTAGCGTGCGCAATTTACGCGAAAGGCGTTTCACTTGGTCAATCATATTCTAGCGTGGAGCCAAGAACAGGTGGACAGCAAGGTTGAGGTGATGGCTTGCGCAGCCAACAAGCGACACGCCCATAGACGGACAAGTCGCTTGTTGACGGAGCAGTTGTCGCCAACAATAAACAAGCAGTTTTTGGGCGATTAAAACCCGGCAAAAACCGCTCGATGGCTACTTTATGTCCCTCCGCATTGAGCTGGTCATTCGGCTCATTCATGACAGGAGCCACGGACAGCAGCGGGTACCGAGGGCCGCCGGAGGCGTCGTAGCAGGCGAACACCGCCAGGAAATGCTCCGTTCGATGGCTCCAGCCATCCAGCATTAGCCGGAAGCTGCCAGGAATCTCAGCTGCAACCGAGCATTCGACGGCATGAGTGACCCGATGCATTGTTGACGCAAGCGATTCCGCAGAGATGGGACTGAGATTCGTAAACCTGTACAAAAGACATAATTAGTTAGATTACAAGATAATAAATGCAATAGGTAGCCACTTACCCGAGAGTCTCCTGCGACTCGCAGAACGAAAAGGGGAGGTTGCTAGTAATGATCCAGTGCAGCCAGCCGTACCGGGTTGACGCTTTCTTGTTCACCCACGGCATCAGCGTGCCGGTACTGGTCGAGCTGGCGTCGCACATCTCCTCTTCGAACTCTGTGCGCATCTGGCGTACATGAGACACCAGATTGGTGTAGCCCATGCCCGCCGTGTGCTTGCGGCACTTGCTGCACGCCTTGCACTGCTGGAATCCGGTGATCTTGCCCTCCTCATCCAAGAATAGAGAGAAGTAGAACGTAGCAATTTGTCTGGGCGAGAAGGCTTGAGCCGGCGCAGGTGCGGTCAGGATGATGTCAGCCATGATGCTCAAATTGGTAGGTGGTCGGATGCTGGTCGTATATTGCGGAATGAGTTTCTGGTGGCAGGAAGCTGGAACAAACGGCTAAAGCCAAGTAGGCACCATAGTTGGTCGGTTGTGATGCGCTGTAAAATAAAATATCCTATTTTTGCACATTTTAAAAATAAATTACGGAAATATTCGGAAAAATAAATAAGTGACCAAAAGAATATAAATATATTGCGTCCTCAGTATATTTTTCGGGATTTCTGGAAAATATGTTTGCAATCAATCGAACGTGATGACTCTGCTTGGTGAGCGAGGACGTTGACGAATAACCTGAAGTACCCTTCGTGACTTGAGGTTCAAGCCCTGAATCAAGGCGGTAGAACCACGGACTATGGCCACATTTTATGCCTGCTTCCATTCTCTCCGGCATAAACGTGCTGACATGGTGGCACGAGCAAGATAAAACCATGGCAAGAAGCTGCTCGGACAACCGCATATTTACTGCGTCATTAGCCAGCAGAATAAAGAACGCGTTCTATGCTGATAGAAAAATGTGTGTGCCGTTCGAGTTGTCTATGACGCTGCCCAGGAAATTGATCTCAACTTCAATCACAATCGTCGGATCTATCTCATTCCCCTCAGTAAAGTCCGCACTCAATTCCAAATAACTTCTCATCATTCTCTTAAGTCCGCAATCGACTGTTGCAAGTGAGTCAAAAGCACAAAGTCCTCCATCATGTCGGTCAGAACGCAATTTGCCATGGGCAACAAGGACTCCATCGACAAGAGCCACGACACTCCCTCGTCTGCCGCACAAGACGCGCGCAGTCGCGTGCTTAGCGCGTTGCAGGCCTGGGATCAGCTCGAGCTGCTCGCATTGCTGAGCGACAAGCCCGACAGCCCGTTGTATCAACAGCTGCTGCACTTTGACAACTGGTATAAGGGCGGCGTGGACGGATACCTCTCCACTGCCACCAAGTTATACGCGGAGCTGCGTGGCGAGCCAGATCAAGATGAAAAAGCCGACGTGTGGAGTGACTGGCGTCCGTCAAACCCTTCGACTTCGTCCGAATTGGCAGCACTCGACTCCGTTTGGTTCGCCGAATTGGAGCAAAAGGGGCTCGAGAACTTGGACAAATGCTGCTTTGTTATAGTTGCCGGCGGTCTCGGTGAACGTCTTGGTTATCAAGGGATTAAACTGCGTCTCCCAGTGGAGACACTGACCCATACCAGCTACCTTGAGGCCTATATACAGCATCTATTGGCAATGCAGAGGCTCGCAAATGCCCAAAGCCAGACATCAGTCCAAATTCCTTTGGCTATTATGACGTCAGACTCGACTCACGAAGCCACACTGAGTTTCTTAAAAGAGCATAAGAACTTCGGCATGGCTGAAGGTCAACTGGTCCTCATCAAGCAGGAAAAAGTGCCTTGTGTGGACGTGATCGAGGGCTCTGAACCTAAGCTCAAGCTCGTTATTAAAGACGAACTGCTAGTGATGAAACCTCATGGACACGGCGATGTGCATACGCTACTACACACGTCTGGATTGGCAACCAAGTGGCAACAAATGGGCAAAAACTACGTGCATTTTATCCAAGACACGAACTATCTGATCCTCAACGGCGTTCTACCAATGCTTGGAGCTTGTGTGAAACACAATTGGGGCTTTGCATTCACGACTGTGCCTCGAAAGGCCAAGGACGCATCTGGAGGTATCGTACGCTTTACGTCACCATCAAACAAACACTCGACGTTATTTAACGTTGAATATCACGAACTGGACCAGTTCTTACGCACAAGAGCTAAGACGGAGTACCCTGATGGCGATATCAACGACCTGGAGACTGGGTTCTCGCCATTCCCCGGTAATATCAACGGTATCGTTGCTGCTCTGGACTCGTACGTGTCTGTCCTCGAGACGTCCAAAGGTTTTGTGCCTGAAGTCTTCAACCCGAAGTTCCGAGCCAATACAAAGTGCGCCTTCAAGTCACCTGCTCGCTTGGAATGTATGATGCAGGATTATCCCAAACTTCTGGTTCAGTATCAGATCCAGCATCATGACTGCAACCAAGGTGTTGGTCTCGTGCAATTCCCTTCGTCTGTGGTGTATTCTCCATGCAAGAACGACGCTGCAAGTGCAAGTGAAAAGGTGAAAAACGACATCCCTCCACAATGTGCCAGCTCTGCAGAACACGAGGTGTTTGCCGTTAACCGCTTGAAACTGAAGGCTCTGGGTGTGTCGATGCCAAAAGAAATCAAGCTCAGGTCGTACCTGGACGTCCCAGTAGACTGTTCGGGTCCGCAGATCGTGTTTGGATCGGGTTTTGCACTGAGCCAGACGACGCTGGCCAAGAAGTTCACTAACCCGTCTGCTATCAAGCTCACCGCTCGCTCTACACTGATCGTAGAGGGTGCGGATGTCACGTTTGACGCTCTTGATCTCGATGGCGCGGTGCGTGTTGTGGCCTGTCCTGGTGCCGATGTGAGGGTCAAGTCGCTGTGTGTGAAGAACGCTGGCGTTGAGTATGAGTCAGTGTCAAGTGACAGTGATCCTGTTGAATCAATGCGTGGCTACCGCCTGAAGCAGATCGAGGTGAAGGAATTTCGCTTCGACACTCCTGGTAACTATGAAATCGATGGGTAAGGGAACGGCTGCATTTGTAGAGAACAATTTTTTTGTAAAGAGTGAAAATTGGCGAATGAAACTTCAATCCTTTTCATTGACCGACACAATTATGGATTCGTTTGCGCTTGAGTTTGCCTTGCTCCGGTTTATCTAGCACATGGCGCTCGAAATGTAGCAACACAACGCATTCCATTACGGGGGGTCATAGGAATCGACAAGGTGTTGCATCTTTTCATCCAGCGAACAACTGCTGCACGCCAACATCAGCAATCGGATTTGTTATAGCAGCACTTGCGCACCAGACGAGGTACTCTCTCCCCCCCCCCCGAGTATTTCAAGCGGCACTCCCATAGATCGTTTGCATCTGGATACAACGGAGCAGTTCGATTGAGCTATTCTTTTGTCCGCAATGGCATGTAGAATACTTTAGTAGTTGAAGCACTCGTCTTGAAATGTTTATATAATCCGGTCGCGGTGAGCTAGCGAGAAGAAATGAGCAATGGCAATACAAACGATCATATAGACACCGGCTTTCCAATTCCTGGTGTGCCCGTGGCGATTCCATACTAAATGTCTGCAATCAAATTCATAAGTACTTGCTCGGCAATTATTCTATGCGAACTTCGTGCAGAATAATAGCGAGTAGTATAGCAGTACTACTGTAGTGAGAATGAGAATGAAAATAGTAAAGCTTAAAAAGATGTGACTGCCTCAGGAAGCCCCCAATGCACTCTAACCGAAGTTAAAGCGTCTTTATCAAGTACCGACACCTGATATAGAGAAGGTATTCCTCACGCAGCACAATACGCTATTTGCACTGCGTATATCACTAGCCGGACGGAAAAAGCCAGCCAGTGGAAAGTAAAAAAGTGCGTTTCAAAGGGTTATCTACAAACATTTCGACAGAGAGATGTTCTGGCGCTCCTCCTCCATTCGATACACGAGAAGGTAACAGCACCATCTCCGGTCCCGCAATAGGCTACGGAGACAGGCTGCTGAGAACGCGGCGCGAGAAGCCGAAGCCACTCCACCTTTCTCCCCCGTGCATCAAGTCCCAAAGCCTTTCGCCACCCGAAGGCAGCAGAAAACCTCAGAAACTCGGACGAAGAAGCACCAGAAGTCCATGTAGGCCTCATATTTAACTGCGTAACCACGGTCGACGCCTACCCGCTCCATCCAGAGGACGGGGCTAAAGAAGGCAAGGCTGGTAGCTGGTAAAGAGAGGCACCACGGCGAGATACAATTGCACAAATGCTCAAAATTCACAACTGGTGGTCGCCAGTGGCTGGCAGCTACAAAGTTCACAAACTTTTTACTTCAAGAACCTTTTACGTAAAAAAGGGTGGATGTAAAAACTGTAGTTACGGACAAAATCAAGGCGTCCGTCTCTATCTACGGGACGTTGAATATGTGTCCTCCTTACTCGCCGTACTCCATGATGGCAAGCTCCTTGGAATCCGGTACAGCCATGGTGCCTCGTCCAGTGCTAATCTCATCGTCGTCGCTGTCGAGATGAGCCTTGGCAGCAGCAGAAAGCTGGTTCGACGCATCTTCCTCCGTCTCCTTCACCGGCAGAGCCGGAGCTACACCCACCAGCGAGCTGCTGCTCTTGTTCGTACGCAGATATTTCTCCCACGCGTACTGCTCACGCTTGTACAGCTCCAACGCCGCACGCGCATCCTCAACGGAGTCGTGCTGTCCGGTCTGGATCTCCTTACCCAGAACTTCCGCCGTCAAGTTCTTCAGCGACTTCGGATACAGTTTCTACAATAGAAGCATAGAGTTAATACCATGACCAATAACGCTGAAGTTATCAGATGCCAATACGTACCGTGCCGTTCATTTTGCGACGCATGTATGGGCGGTAATAGGCGGTATCACGGATCAGGTGCTTGGGAGGCGTGAACATGAGCGCTTGGAAGTCATTCTTCAATGCATGGCCCACTACGATCTTGTCCTGCAACAGTTTGCCCACCTCCTTCAGGCACAGTGCAAAGGGGATAGCGTGTCGTAGCGAGCTGGACTTGATGCCGCTGACGTGCGTTCGGAAGTCCGTGACCTTCTCCACGGGACGTACGTGCTTGTCGTACAACACGTTGCCGTCGTAGTCGACGATACTACATCGTGCCAATACACTTGTCTTGCCTGAGAGCCCCACGCCCACCATTTCGCAATCCATTCCAACGATAAGCGAGTTGTCCACCCACTCAGCAGTGCGCGCCTTCAAACGCTTAGCCTGTTTCTCCTGCTTGACACGTTGCTTTTGCGCCTTCACGTCAAGATCATGCTTCTTCCCAACTGCCTTGCCGCCCTTGTGACGTTGATCCTTCTGCTGGATCTTGCTCTTTAGCGCCAACCAATTCGAGTTTGCTACAGCAGCAGGTTTCACCTTCGCCTGCGTCTTCTGCACCACAGATACGCTCACTTTCTTCGAGGTTGATACCTTGTGCTTCTTCTTGCCATGGTGCGCTTTACTGTCCACCTTGCCGTTGCCTGGTTTCGTCGGTGCAGAGCCTTCATTACGCTTCCTCTTGCCGCCCATTTAGTCGTTAGTTGATCACTTATTGACTGGCCTGGCGTAATTTGTTAATTTAGTCGGATTTGTGATTATTTTCTTATTTAGTCCTACACAAAATGATTAGGAGTCGCGGTACTTCTGTGCTGTCACGTCGTTTGTAAACACGGCAAATCCACACCTGGAAGCGGCATCCAATACTCGTCTCGTGCGTAAGCCACGTATCTCTTCCAGCTGGGCAACCTACACTGCCAATTAACCGACACGCGTGCGCACCTCGTGCACCAAGTTGCACCTGAATGGAGCGCTCAACGAGCTCGAAATGGAAGAAAATCTACGACGAAGACGGCGGGTCGCCCCCTATCGACGACGACGAAGCGTCTAAGACGCAGCAGAACGACGAGCAGCCGCTCGTGAGCCATGATGACGATCCCGCGGGCTACGCTGGGCCGCCGTTGCTGATGCAGAAGCCTGTAGCCGCCTGGGCTGTGGGTGGATTAGGAGCCTTGTTCCTTCTCGTGGTAGTTTTGGTGGTGCGCGGCAACACACTGCAAGCTCCGCGTGGGGTTCAGGCCACTACTCAAGTGGCTGAGTGGGTGGATATGCTGCCTAGCGATGTGGTGACTCATATGGATCGCGAAGTGGACCCTTGTGACGATTTCTATGAGTTTAGTTGCGGAGGCTGGCAGAAGCAGGTGGAGATCCCAGCGGACAAGCCCAGTGTGTTTCTATCGTTCACAACGGTACACGATGAAAACCAAAAAGTACTGAAGGAATTGATGCAGCAAGGATGGCCGCTAGTGGGGGAATTGTACGACTCCTGCATGAACTTTAGCAATATAAGCAGCGCGACGGCGGATGAGGCGTCATTGCAGGTATTGGCTCCTATTTTGCAGCAGATTGCTGCAGTCAAGAGCAAGAAAAAGCTGTTTCAACTGGCAGGCGAATTATCCAAAGCAGGGCCGGATTTCTTAACGGGACTTGGAGTATCGGCAGATGCAAGAGAAGCCACGAGATACGCTCTGTATGCATCACAGACTGGACTCTCCCTTCCGGATCCAGAGTATTATTTGGACAAAAAAAAGTTCGACTCCATCAGCGACGCCTTCCATGCGTATGTAGTGGAGTTATTCCTCCTGGCTGGATGGGAATCACGCGCAGCAGCAGCTCGGGCAGCGTCGGTAATTGGATTTGAGCAAACTTTAGCACCACTTTTCGTGCCTAAAGAAAAACTACAAGACCCTGTAGCATCATACAACCGCATGAGCGTGGCTGAAGCTGCTGAGAAGTATCCGCTTTTGTTTGCAAAGTTCGTCAACGGCACGGGACTGCTGTCCAGCCTTAAAGCCAAGAACGCGGATGTGATCGTGGAGACGCCTGCGTTCTTCAAGAGTGTTGAACGACTGGTAGCTGGAGACTCCGTTACACTGGATACGTTGAAAGCAGTGTTGACGTATCAATACATCAGCACCTACGCAGCAGTACTCAGCGAGCCTTTCGTCCAAGCGAGCTTTTCCTTCTTCGCCAGGACACTACGTGGCCAGAAGACTCGTGCTCCAAGATGGAAAGTGTGTCTCCAACGCGTAACAGACAACTTCCCCGACCTCGTGGGCAAATATTTCGCTCTCTTGCGCTTCGACGAAGCCAGTCAACAGCTTGCCAGCCAACTGGTGACTCAAGTTCAGGCCTCTCTGCAAAAGAATCTAGGACGAGTGGACTGGCTGGATGGGGCTACTCGTGAGGCTGCGTTGGAGAAACTGGGGAATATGACGAACCTCATCGGTCACTCCACTAATCAGGAACATTTTCCCTACGAGTTACGTGGCGACGCACCTCTGGCTGAGAATATGAGAGTTATTAAACTGCACGAGTTTGATCGTGTCGTGGCGAGGATAGGAGGTCCTGTAGACCGCAACAAGTGGGCGATGACCAGTGCAGCAGTCAACGCGTACTACCAGCCAACCGCCAACCAGATCGTGTTTCCTGCGGGCATTCTACAGCCTCCGTTCTTTGCTCGTGGTCGCCATCCTGCACGTAACTTTGGAGCTATTGGAAGTATCATTGGACACGAACTTACGCACGGCTTCGATGCGTCTGGAAGGAATTACGCTGGGGACGGTAATCTCCACGACTGGTGGAGTAACCAGACAGCAGACGAGTTCTCGAAGCGTACAGATTGTCTGGTGAAGCAGTACAACAGCTTCAAGGTGGTTAGTACAGACACGGCCACTGTATTGGGCCACGTCAATGGGAACTACACGTTGAGTGAGAATATCGCGGATAACGGAGGGGTCAAGTTATCTTTCGCTGCGTACCATGAGTTCATTACCGACCAAGCCGAGCAGTTGAGTAAGATGAGCGAAGCAGACACTGAAGAACTCACCGCTACGATGAGTCAAGCTGAACGTAATTTACCTGGTAACGCAGCGGACAAGCTCTTCTTCATCTCGTTCGCACAGGCCTTCTGTGCTAAGGCAAGTGATGCCAGCATGACGCAGCGTTTGGCCACAGACCCACACTCACCGGAGCGATGGCGCATCAACGGAGTTGCCAGCAACTCGCGAGACTTTGCCAAAGTATTCTCGTGTCCTGCTGGTTCGCCTATGAACCCCAAGACCAAGTGTCAGCTCTGGTAAGTTTTCAACTCGTATTGAATAAATTCCCGTTTTGTAAGTAATTTATACAGGAACAGAGTTGAGTTGTTCGTCCAGCAGCTTGGCTTTCTCTTCCGAATCTTCGTCGTCTGGGTCGGTGCCAAAACCCAAACAGCGTTCGCCTACATTGCGGACGATACCGCGGTCATAGGAACGCATTTCGCCTCCACGAAAGCGGTAGCGATTAGCATTGAGCAGTTCGTTGGTCGTGCGATTTCGAGCAGTGAGGTAGATGTGGAAGCCCGCAAGTTGAGCCACTGGTAGCAGGATCAACAGGAGATAGATCATGCCAATTACAGCGTAGAAGCGTAGAGCGTGATGATAGCGCCACAACAAGTAGAGCACGTACTCCATCCCAACCAGATCTAAGGCCAGGAACGTCACGAATAGCAGGAATGCCGCGTAGTTGTCACGTCCTACACAGTTGTCTACAAACGGACAGCTATAAGCATCGAAACCAAGTTAGTTAACGAATAAAACAAGGTTAAATAACGCAATACGTACTGGTGATCGAAGACGGGTACGCAGGTCTTGCAGATACGGCAGTGTTTGGAGCGCGGAGGTCTCTGGATATGACACGTATGGCATAATGGACGCTCCATACATTCACGTTGCGCACGAGCAGTGGCGCTTTCTCCAGTTTTGTCTTCGTCCTCATCATCGCCATCGATAAGAGCTTCTGTGACCTTCTCGTATGCTACGCCATACTTTTTATTGTCCTCTGGACAACTACCCGGCTTGGTCGTTACTGTGCGATAGAAGAAGTACCAGGTCACCGCGTTCCACGCCAGATGTGGTACCATCACATTGCGTCGATCTGGCATAAGTGGGAAGACCAGGAACAGATAGATCAGCGTTGTGATCACTGCGTTAACAACAGTGAAGTGATACGGCGCTCGACTGCCAGGGTTACACCAAAACGTGAAGGCAGCAATGTTCCACGCTGCAACACGCATTTCCCGCTGCTTTAGATACCGCGCCACTTCGCGGAAACGTTTGAGCTGTGCCAGATCTCTCGGTGTACGTTTCTTGGAGTCCAGAGCTTTAACATCAGCATCCAGCGTCTCCACTAGAAACTGCACGGTCTCTAGCTCACCTCTCATAGCTGCAAGATGCAACGGTGTCTGTCCGAATTTGTCTGGTGCATCGGAGCTTACTTGAAGGTACTGGAACACTGCCACGATCTCAGTCGCTCCTTTATAGGCCGCCCAGTGGACAGCTGTGTCTCCATCAGCGTCCACGAGCGTCACATCCGCCCCGTTACGTACACAGAATAATACTAACAGTGGGTGTCCATTCTGAGCCGCTACTAGCAATGGGGAACGGTGTTTCTTGGCGTCACACGTGTTAATGTCCACTCCGAGCTTGAGTACCAGCGTCCGTAGAGCACTTAAGTTCCCCGCAGCACAAGCCCAATGGATCGGGTGTAGTTGCGCCTTCCCGTCCTCGCTGGGCTCATCGATGGGTGCTCCGATGGAGTGCAAATAGTGGAGGAATTCGCCGTTGCTCTTCTGCGCTGCCCAGTGAGCGATCGTGTGGCCTTGCGGGTCTCGTCGTTCTCGCGCCAGTTCGTCACCGTATTGCGCCACCAGCTGCACGAACTGCGCCAGATCGTTGCGTTTGGCACAAGCGAACATTTCCTCCAATGGGGTCATTGGCTCCTGCTCCTCGGACGGAGTTTGGACGTGAGAATGCTGACAGTTAGAGTGGTGACCATGGCTGTGGCCATGGTGTGACACGACTGCTGAGGCGTTGGAGACCGCGAGAGCTGCATTGGGCTCGGGAGACGTAGGAGAGGAAGATGCAGCTGGTGATGAAGCAGGATTGTCAGCGGAAGACGTCTGCAACAGCGATGAGACGTCCACAACGACATCAGCATCGCTCATTTTGAACAGGATTGATTTCTAATTCTGAAATGAACCCAATGGAGTAATACAGTTGTAACCTCTTGTAAACCACATAATTTGTTTTTTATTATTATTGTGAAGCGGTGGAAAAAAAAGTATTCCGATTAATAGATTTATTAGGCTCCCTAGTAGCCTCAAAGCCAACGATGCGTAGGATACCGAACCCCCCCCCCCCCAGTGCATACCATGGTTAATCATGTCATTGTGGACGAAATGTTCTCATTTGAAAAGTGAGTTCTTCGATCTACTAGAATGTTGGCTACCAGTTTAATAATACTTTTAACGAGCACATCTGAACCAAGCAGCTGTAGAATTCCTACATCTAGTACGTGTCTAACAAGTAAAACGAAGTAATGGGACCATCGATCGCCGGAGCAACGAATGCAGATCATGCCACGATCACAAAAAGTTGGAAAAATAAAAGTAGCATGTTCAATCAATCCACACGGATTTACCTTCCCAGTTACATCTCCAGACTCACCGTTGCACAACGAGTCCCGTCCTGTAATATGGGGTAGCATGTCCTACCGCTACCGCCTTACGACTCCCAGACGAATCCTGTCGAGCGCACGCCCTTGTCCTCCTCGCCCAGGAACGGGTAGTCCGTGTAGCCTGCTTCCACTGGCATGTCCGGCTGTAGATAGAACGTCTTCGGGTCGTACGGTGTCAGCTTCGCATCTTTACGTAGACGCTCGACGAGGTCCGGGTTCGAGATGAAGTCGCGACCAAAGGCGATGAGGTCAGCCACTCCGTCCTCGACAGTTTGCATGGCGTCGGCGCGGGTGAACCCCGCGGCTGTAATGAGCACACCGTTGTAGATGCTGCGGAAGTGGCGAGCTACTCCGCCCTCGGGCACAGCAGCGTTGTCCGCGTGCATGCCACGACGTTCGATGACGTGCAGGTAGGCCAGATCGTAGTCGTTGAGCTTGTTCACGACGTAGCCGTAGGTCTCGCGTGGGTTGGAGTCCTTGCAGCCGAAAGTGTCGCCAAACGGAGAGAGGCGGATGCCGACCTTGCTCGACGGCAGGCTGGATAGCACAGCCTCAACCACTTCGAAGATAAGTCGCGCGCGGTTCTCGATGCCACCACCGTACTTGTCTGTGCGCGAGTTGACACTGTCACACAAAAACTCTTCGAGGAGGTATCCGTTGGCAGCGTGGATTTCCACGCCGTCGAAACCTGCAGCGATGGCGTTCTCGGCAGCAAGTTTGTAGTCGTTGATGATGCTGGGGATCTCAGAGATGTCGAGAGCTCGCGGAGTCACGTAGTCCTTGCGACCGTCACGAGTGACGGCGTGGCTCTTGACGTTGTCCATGGGAGTCGCGCTCGAGGACACTGGCAATTGTCCGTTGGGTTGGTTGAGTGGGTGACCCACACGACCCGTGTGCCAGAGCTGCACAAAGACCTTGCCGCCCTTATCGTGGATGGCCTTGGTGACAGGCTTCCAGCTCTCGATCTGGTTTTGGTTGAAGATACCAGGAGCGCCGAAGTAACCACGACCCGTGGGGCTGATGTTGGTGGCCTCGGTGATGAGCAGTCCACCGTCGGTAGCACGCTGTTCATAGTACTGAGCAACCAGGTCCGTGGGCGTACCAGCATCACCTGTGCGAACACGAGTGAGTGGGGCCAGGGCTACGCGATGCTTGAGCTTGACCGGGTCTTCCTTTCCGCCAAGGGTAATAGCGGAGAAGAGGCTGGGTGCGGTGGTGGTGTTCGCGTTGGGGGCCATGGTTGCAGGAGGCTAGAGGTGTCGCCACTGTTGTGTTTGAATGCACTTGTGTTGCAGACTGAAAATTGGAAAATGAACGTCGTCTCGACTGGTGCTATGCTGTCTCTGAGTACACAGGGTGTACAAGTCTTTGCTTTTTTATATCCAAGACAGGTATTATATTATTTACTTACGATCGTGTACTAAAATGTATCTACATGGTATTGCGTCAAACTCGATGACGACGTGATCAATGATCACTACAGTCTGAAGAATAATACACGGTTCGAATAATCAGCGATTCATTTTTCTCAGAAATCTGGATCGTCATAGATAAGCACCAAACTCAAAAAGACCTACTTGATCGCGTCTACACAAAACTTGACGCAATACATGAATCGTAATTGGGAGTTTTTTAAGCTCATTCGTAGCGTTGCTCCAGTCGAGACGACGTTCATTTTCCAATTTTCAGTCTGCAACACAAGTGCATTCAAACACAACAGTGGCGACACCTCTAGCCTCCTGCAACCATGGCCCCCAACGCGAACACCACCACCGCACCCAGCCTCTTCTCCGCTATTACCCTTGGCGGAAAGGAAGACCCGGTCAAGCTCAAGCATCGCGTAGCCCTGGCCCCACTCACTCGTGTTCGCACAGGTGATGCTGGTACGCCCACGGACCTGGTTGCTCAGTACTATGAACAGCGTGCTACCGACGGTGGACTGCTCATCACCGAGGCCACCAACATCAGCCCCACGGGTCGTGGTTACTTCGGCGCTCCTGGTATCTTCAACCAAAACCAGATCGAGAGCTGGAAGCCTGTCACCAAGGCCATCCACGATAAGGGCAGCAAGGTCTTTGTGCAGCTCTGGCACACGGGTCGTGTGGGTCACCCACTCAACCAACCCAACGGACAATTGCCAGTGTCCTCGAGCGCGACTCCCATGGACAACGTCAAGAGCCACGCCGTCACTCGTGACGGTCGCAAGGACTACGTGACTCCGCGAGCTCTCGACATCTCTGAGATCCCCAGCATCATCAACGACTACAAACTTGCTGCCGAGAACGCCATCGCTGCAGGTTTCGACGGCGTGGAAATCCACGCTGCCAACGGATACCTCCTCGAAGAGTTTTTGTGTGACAGTGTCAACTCGCGCACAGACAAGTACGGTGGTGGCATCGAGAACCGCGCGCGACTTATCTTCGAAGTGGTTGAGGCTGTGCTATCCAGCCTGCCGTCGAGCAAGGTCGGCATCCGCCTCTCTCCGTTTGGCGACACTTTCGGCTGCAAGGACTCCAACCCACGCGAGACCTACGGCTACGTCGTGAACAAGCTCAACGACTACGATCTGGCCTACCTGCACGTCATCGAACGTCGTGGCATGCACGCGGACAACGCTGCTGTGCCCGAGGGCGGAGTAGCTCGCCACTTCCGCAGCATCTACAACGGTGTGCTCATTACAGCCGCGGGGTTCACCCGCGCCGACGCCATGCAAACTGTCGAGGACGGAGTGGCTGACCTCATCGCCTTTGGTCGCGACTTCATCTCGAACCCGGACCTCGTCGAGCGTCTACGTAAAGATGCGAAGCTGACACCGTACGACCCGAAGACGTTCTATCTACAGCCGGACATGCCAGTGGAAGCAGGCTACACGGACTACCCGTTCCTGGGCGAGGAGGACAAGGGCGTGCGCTCGACAGGATTCGTCTGGGAGTCGTAAGCAAGATCTATGCTGCTAGCCTTAAAAAAAGCTGTATTAAGCACTCTGCTACTCTGAGTGATGGAAAAAGGCAACTTTTGTTTGAAGCATCTTATACCTTGTTTTGGTACCATATCTCACCTTTATTTGTTATGATACGACCCAAACCGAATAACTTGGATAAAGTATCGTCAACCGTTCTGCGAATCTGGCCAAACGTAGATTCATGCTCATGGTGGCTATTATCAGGAATCGAGGACGTTGTTCACTCTCGAGACGAGATATTTTCGTGCTCACCATTCAGTTACTTCAAGTACTGCAACGTCGCGTGTGGGCAACGTATCCTCACTTAAAAATCCGCCATTCCCAGGACAAGCAGAACTTTTTTGTTGCTCTCCAAGCACTAAAATCAAATGAAGTTCGGCAAGCGAGTGCGTAGTTTAGCATCTTCAGAGTGGGCTACCGACTACGTGGACTACAAGGCACTTAAGCGCGAGATCAAATTGGCATTCGCCGAAGAGAATGACTCGCTTGACAAACGAGTCGCGTGGTTCCAGTCAATCTTGGAGTCCGAGATGCAAAAACTCAATGTCGCTCACGCAAGGATCCTCGACGACCTGGTGGATCGTGGGCTCAAGCCGCTGCAACAAACGTTGGGAACGCGATGGGTTTTGCCGCATGCCACCGCTCGGACATTGTTACTAGAGGTTCTGCAGCTCTCCAACCAAGTGGACGCTTTCCGTCGCTTCGTAGTGCTCAACAGCCTCGCACTCGTTAAGATCGCCAAGAAGTTCGACAAAACCGCGAATGCAACCGAGACCGATGAGGATATTGACGAAAACTCCACTGTTACAACCTCTCGACTAAAGGCTCAAGTACTGGAAGACCTTAAATGTCAGCCATTCTACGATGGATCGGAGCTGGACGCACTTTGCGATGCAACTGCGGCACTTACAGACCGCGTGATGTTGTGCGTGTTGCCCGACGGCAACTTCCGTCTTGGTCCGAGAGCCCTGACGTGTCCTATCTGTCTCTGTGCTGACGTCCAAGCGCCTATTACACTGTCCTGCGCCCACACTTTTTGCTGGTCGTGTCTGTCTCGAGCAGCTCAGCACCGTTTCCGCTCGTGTCCTCTATGTCGTCGCGCGCAATCCGTGGACCCTCGCGACTATGAGATTGACGGGCTGGTGAAGCGCTTTAAACGCGCTTATGAATTTGTGGAACAAGCGCTGGATGTGGCGCCGTTGGTAGCGAGTCCTATGCGTCAGATCCTTGCAGAGGCATTCGAGGTGGGCAACGCATACTTAAGAGAGGTAGAAGACCAGTACGCAGCACTCGCTCCATTACCATCGGCTACATTTGAAGAGCCCCAGGCTACAGTGGAGAACCCCAAGTCAGAAGTGAAGGCGGATTTTTTGGATGTCAAGAAGGAAAAGGTGAAAATGGAGGAACCAGAGCCTCCTGTTGTCTTTGAAAAGGGTGAAATTGTTGAGATTCTTCATGGTGAGCAATGGTATGCGGGCGTGGTGCTGCAGCGCAATGAAGGTACCGAAGATGGTGACACGTACTCGGTGCTGTGGTGGGTCAAGGACAAGTCTCAGCGGTTTGGTCAACGAACACCTCGCCATCTCTTACGTGAACCGACTGAAGTCCCTGTTCCCCCAGCGTTGTACGAGTATGCGGCTGAAGCGTGGAGGACCGCAGCGAGTTGGGCACTGGAGCCGTTCAGGCGGCTACGATCGCGGTCCGATGGAGGGGCCAACGATAGTAAAGTTTGCTCGAACACCCTAATTAGACAAGATACACTATCGTAATTGAGATAAGATACGTTAATAGAACCTGATTCTGATGAACTCAGAATGTGAACGAGTGCAACTTGATACCAATCAGCCTATATGCATTGACGTCCGAGCTCCTACATGACATGGGATAACCTTTGACTTGTGGTCAAAACCATTTACCACCGCAGCGAATTGTTGTAGTGGCACGTGACGAATTTTCACTGCTCGTTCTGCAATAACGCGGTACCGTAATGATGGCTGCATACACTAAATTCACATGAGACCTTCCGCTTCAAGCATCCACAAAACCGTCTAAGACATGCAGACATGTTACAGATCCGACTACCGACTTAGTGAACGCTTTAGTGATTTTCTGCAACATGTTCATAACTCAATTTCCTCTCTACAATACACTCCCTCCCCCTTCAAAGCATGGCCGGATCGCTTCTTCAGTCGCTGCGCGTAGTGTCCGCTTGTCTACTGTTGACAGCCGAGTCTGTTGCAGCCAAGTCGCCTAGTCTACAAGGCGGCAAGATCACGTCCACGAGCGTCCAGGACGACTCTGGATCGCAAGAGCAAGTTGGTTCTGTCGGCAGCGGTAGCTACGGCAGCAACGTCGGGGATGGAGAAGTCGGGTTCAAGCACATCTTGCACTTCTCCGATGTCCACCTAAACATCTCGGATGGCAACGAATCTGCTGAGATTCCAATCCGATACGGTTACGACGCCCCCATCAGCCTACTGACCTCAGCACTCGAGTACGCTAAACAAGTACTACCCAATCCAGACTTTTTCCTGTACACCGGTGACCATGCAGTTCATGGTGATCCAACGGATGAATACCTCGCTGAAGCGGTGAAAGTCAATGTGGAGACCATGGCCCAGTATTTCTCCACCCCGGGCAACGAGACGCTCAACGCTACGGCCGTGTTGGGCGACACTGATACTAAGAGTACGGTATCAATTTGGTACTCCCTAACGGTGTTATTATTGCTGTAGCTAACTCTAAATTACTGTATGCAGACTACACGATGAACGTCACTGATCCATCCAGCGAGGAGAACCCAACGATCGAAATCGTGTCTCCAGCGTGGAGTGACTCACTCAGCGCAACGAACCTCAAAGATCTCAATACCCGGGGCTACCTGTCGTACAGTATTGCCGAAAAGTTGATCCTCCTTACACTCAATACGGTACCCTATTCGGTAAGTTCTCTAATTTCATCAACATTTCTATTCCCAACTAACGTGCTAACCATTATTATACAGCCAAAACACAAGCCGGACTCAACGAACGAGACGGATCCATTCGGTCAGTTTGCCTGGCTGAACGCCACACTCTGGGGCCTTCGCAATGGCAATAAGTTCGCGTACATCGCTGGCCACATCCCACCAATTATCGACGCCCAAGATGGTTCGCCAATGTGGGAAGCTTCATACATCGATTCATACAAGAAGATCGTGACGCAGTACGCGGATGTTATCAAGGCGCAAATCTTCGGTCACACCCACAGTATCGAGTTCCGTCTGCCGCTCACTGCCGACATGGAGTCACAAGATCCCGATCAAGTCATCGCAGCCGATAACAGCGACCAGAGCTCTCAGCTCGTGCCTCTGTTCATGTCTGCAGCCATCTCGCCGATGTTCTACAATAACCCGGCGTTCATGGTCTGGGACTTTGATCCAAGCACGTACGACCTCATGGACTTCACCGTATACGGCACCAACCTCTCCGATAACAACCAGAGCGCCCTCGACTGGCAGCCGCTCTTTAAGGCCAGCACGGCGTACAACGTGAGCTCATTATCGTGGTCGGAGATGAACAACTTCATCGTGAACGCTGCGACCGACTCGGCACTGGTGGAGCAGTACTACTACAACTCACAGGCGCTGTCGTATCAACAGACTTCATGCGAGGACAGCGTGTGCCTCACTTGGTACCTCTGCTCCATGATGTGGTGGTCCACCCCCGAAGGCTATACTGCGTGCCTCGCAGCCGGTTCCCGTCTCGAATCAACGTCAGCTGCGACGTCTCCATTGCCCTCGACATTCGTCTTGGCATCAATCACCATTCTTGCCTTGTGGCTCTGAACTGAGACGTAGACAGCAAAATGACAACTACATGTAGCCATGATTGTTGCTTGAACAGTAGGAGTCCATCAAAACGTAGCCATCTTCCATGAAATACATCCATCAATTGCATTTCTTTTATCCAATAAGAACTCCATATTCCATACATTTCAACCAATCGTGTGCTTTGCGTTATAGAACATGGCTGATTCCTCATCAGTCGAGAAACAAGATCATAAGAGATGAGTTCCCCCCCGTCGTCTTCTGCCGTGCCCCCGCCACCGGCCCCCGTCACTCTAGAGCCCGTGAAGGAGCTACCCAAGGCGCGTCAGATCGTGAGTATCAATGACGAAGGCACCAATTTCACGCTGGACGAGGAGGCGCTGCGCGTCATCTTCCACCAGGTGCCTGAGGACATGAAAGTAGCCATCTTCTCAGTCGTGGGTGCCTTCCGCACGGGCAAGAGCTTCGTACTAGATTTATTCCTTCGCTACTTGCGTCACGCCAGTCACGGCCGCATGCTCAAGCCTGACGGCGCACAGGACGAGAGTACGGAGGTCTGGAAGGCCTGGGTCATGGAAGGCGTGACCGGTAGCGGCGAAGGGAAGCTCGAGGGCAATTCCAACATTGAACAGACGTATGGAGAGAAGGGATTTAGCTGGAGAGCAGGCCGCAAACGCAACACGACGGGCATCTGGATGTGGGAGAAGCCATTTATCCGCAAAAGCCAGACGGGCGAGGACATTGCCGTGTTCTTGATTGATACCCAAGGAATGTTCGACTCCGAGACGTCTCAGATGCTCACGGCGAGTATCTTTGGTCTCAGTACGTTGCTGAGCTCGTACCAGATCTACAATGTGGACAAGAGAGTCCAGGAGGACAACCTGCAGCACCTTGCTCTATTTACGGAATATGGACGGTGAGTGTCCCATGGTAACTTAATTTGTGGAAGTTTTATTTACGGTAATTTATGAACATTACAGGATGGCGTTGTTTGGAGACACCAAGTCGGCGTCATCACTAAGTGACAAGCAGCAGGCGTTGCAACGTGCTGCGTCGCTATCAGACCGCAGTGTGGAGAAATCTACGTCCAGTGTTAGTGACAACGGCGAGGAGAAGAAAGAAGAGAACGACGATAAAGAAGGCGACGATGTCCCCAAGCGACCACGTCCGTTCCAACGTCTTGACTTCTTGGTACGAGATTGGCAGGATTTCTCTCGAAACCAGAGTTTGGCCGAGAAGCGAGAAGATATGGAACAGTACATGGTCGAGCTGCTGTCGTCCCGTAAACAAAAAGATTTGGCTGACACCCGTGAACAGATCAGCTCGTGCTTTGAAAAAGTGGCGTGCTTCTTACTGCCTCACCCTGGCCACGCAGTGACAGAGCGTGAGTACGATGGGTCCGTTGAAGCCATCGACAACCGCTTCTTGGAGCTGCTGACTGCGTATCTGGACGACCTGTTCGACCCTGCTAATTTGTTCCCCAAGAAGATCCACGGCGTCGCTGTGACCTCCCGCGAGTTATTCACGTACATTAAGACGTACGCTGGACTATTCCGTGAAGCCTCTATCTTCCCGGAGGCCAAGACGCTGCTGGAAGCCACGGCTGAAGCTAACAATGTCAACCAGCGAGACAAGGCTCTGCTCATGTACAAGCGTGAGATGGAGAAGATCGCAGGCTCCAAGTGTCAGTATGTGCCCGTACAGGAGCTGGAAGCGCACCATAAGGCCTGCTTGCAAGGGGCCATGGACGTGTTCGATGATGGCGCTCGTATGGGTCGACGCAGTGAGATCATGCGCTATCGTCAGGAAGTTGCGGATCAGATTGAGAAGGAACGTCACCGTTATCTGGAGATCAATGCCGAGCGTGACCCATACAAGAACCTGGAGTTCTACCTGATCCCGGGGTGTCTGGCACTGGCGTTGCTGATGTTCCGCGTTTCGCAAGACTTGTTCTGCTACGAGAGCATCGGATACGATATCCCGCTCTACGACTGCAAGTACGTAGCCATATTTGTGTTCTGAGGGAGAGTTGTACTGATTTTTATTATGTGTTTGTAGACACGTGAGCCACACATTATCGCACTTGTACTGGGCGCTGATCGTGTTCATGCTGCTGATCATGATGTCCACTGGACAAGTGATGTTCAAGCGCGTCAAGACTGTGGTTTCCATCATCAAGACTGCCATCGACGCCTCCAAGGAGGACGGCAAGGAGAAGAAGGACTAGGCTGTAATAGGTTGCCACTGAAAAGCACCGCAGCAACGAGATAGGGACAGTTACTGGCGTGTATTCTGAGGTGTTGGTTGCATCGCCTCGCATGCGTAGTGTTCATAGATTGACTACCCATTTATTGTGTTGGGGTTTGTTTATCGCTGTCTGTAAGGAAGTTTACAGACATGATTAATGTCAGACTGACGGAATTAACGGCGCTAGCAGGAACGTTCTCAGTTGTTGGCATAAAGAACACTGATCGTGCAGCGAAAATATCAATAGGGTGTTTCTTCAAGTACAGATACTTCAACATTACAGCATGATTGTTTTAGTATGTGCCACCAATCTCGTTGACCCAGTGCAATTTTACCTTGTATTAATACGCCCGATATGTACAGGAGGACATGAAATAATTCAGTGGCAGGGTTACGAACTGACGTGCATCATCATCAGTACTTCATACATGCTTCGACTTACAGTGGGTTTTGAACGTGGCTACATGTACCAATGTCATGCAAGACCCTGATCTTCATTTCACTCCAGCTGAGATTGCCGAACTTTGCCGCCAAAATTATCGTGCAAAACAGCATGCAACACTGACGTTGCTGCAGATTTCACGGGCAGCTTCGACCTGGTCTTGCTTTGAAAGTGGAGAGTCAGAGAGAAAACTAGAGAGCGGATAATTAGACGAACGTCAGATGTTTTTCAGGACTTGAATAGCTTTGCTGTTTTGTTGCAATTTTCACTTGTCGTTGCTATCGAAAGTTTTCTTTTGCACCGGCTACGACTACGCTCCATGCGTTTGTATCGGTTTGGCTCGCTTTGCAGTCCCATGGAAGAGCCTTTTCCGATCCTCGGCTTATCCTCAGCTTTGCCCACGTTCAGACTGTCCCCGCATCGAACCAGCACAAACTGCATGGACGCTTAGCTAATTCTTTCATTCTGCAATTGGCCCGACACTCGATCGTCCCTGCAGCCCCACAGAGCGAAAAGCAGCTCTGTCCCTACATACAGCACTAAAGCAGCAACAATGGTCAGCGTCCGTAGCGTATTCGCCTTTGCCTCGATGGCCCTAGTGGCGACCGTGAGCGCGTTCCCGGCAGACGATCACCACCGTACTCTACAGGCTGTGAACTTCCGTCAGGACTTGCTGGACAACATCAATGCGGCCCGGAAGAAGGAAGGGTTGGACGAGTTGTGCCTTAACGAGATGCTCATGGACGCGGCGCAGATCCAGTCGAACGACATGGCCGACAACAACTTCATCAAGAGCACAGGTTCGGACGGATCCGTGCCTAAGGAGCGTGCCGCGGAGCAGGGTTTCAAGGCCGAGACGGTGACGGAAATCGTCGGTGCCGGTTACAGGACGGCGGCGAGTGTCGTCGCCGCGTGGAGCAAGGCTGCGAGTGCCAAGAGCACCATCTTCGGCAAGGTGAATGTTATGGGCCCGGGCTACACATTCGACAAGACACGGAAGTACGTGCACTTCTGGGCTGTGGACTTTTCTACGGGCGAATGCGGCAACGGAACCGCTACGGGTGGACCTGCAGCTAGTGGCGACTCCAGTGGCAACGTCGAGCTTCCTTCAAGTGGTAGCGACGACCCTAAGAGCAGCGACGCCAGTGGTAGCGTTGAGGCTCCTGAAAGCGGAAGCGGTGCTCCGGCACCGGCTGGTAGTGGTGCAGACACCCCTGCCGTCACTCCGGCACCGGCCGGTAGTGGAGATGAAACTCCGGCCAGCGGATCAGATGATCCTCCTGCTGCCACGCCGGCACCTGCCGGCAGTGACGCCGAGACTCCGGCCAGCGGATCTGATGACGAAGAACCTGCTGCTACTCCCGCTCCTGCCGGCAGTGGAGGCGAGACCCCGGCCGCCCCTGCTGCTGCTCCTGCTCCTGGTGCCGCTCCAGCTGCTGCCCCTGGTGCCGCTCCTGCCACCCCCGCTGCCGCTCCTGCTCCGGCTCCGGCAAGTGGATCAGGTGATGAGCCGGCTGCAACGCCAGCTCCGGCTGAAGAGGAGCCCGAAACACCTCAGTAAGATCCTAACATGGTTATATCGAGATATGGCGTGTGGTAGCTCCGTAGTGTTTCGTCGTAAAATTCATAATGCTAGATGCCTTCAATATCGCTGCTTGTACCTGAATCCAGCGACGTATGAACACGGTGTCCCTCCTGTCTACTTGCATCACCTTCCGTTTCGCATGGCCACACTCCACACTCGGAAGGCTCTTCCTACTACTTTTTCTTCCCATCCTTTCGACTGCATGATTTTTCTAACTCGACTTAACTCTGCTAAAATTGCAATTCTAGCCCAGGATAGGGTCAGTTAAGGTAACGCAAATCCACGTATTCTATTGGCTGAATTGCGACACTGGCTAAGGAGATGTAATAGTGCTACCATAGTAAATAAAGGAGTGAGAAACAATAGAAAGTAATGAAAAATAGCTACTGCCTTTTGTCTTTAAATTTGGGAGTAACAAGTACTACCAGCACCAAAATAGCTATCGAAACATTTCGTGCAAGTGAACAGCAATATGAAATATGCCATAATGACAAAGAGCAATAATAATAAATGTGGAATAAAATACCAAAATTATGTATTATATATATTTTTCGAAGCACTGGTGTTAACCCTATCGTGAGCGGGCAGTCATGACCTAGCTATTTGTACAATACAAGCTAAGTCATTAAGGCGTCAAAGGGGGCATTCTGGCCCTTTTCATTGATGACCAAGTGTCACTACAGCCAAACTTCCGCTAATCCTTTCAATTCAAGTAGAAATGGCAATTTGGCCTCGTCCACACACAAAGTATAATAAAAAGGGACATTCTGGTCAGTGTTAGCATGGTCCAGAATTCTGACCGGGAAGCAAAGTCCGCCCAAACCATTGGCTTCTGTCTTTAGCATATGGACGATTTCCCTTTTCTCGACTGGCACTTTTATTAGGGAGTGTGTCCCTAAATAAAATAAAATAAAATAAAATAAAATCGTAAATTTCTCATTCACAAAGAACTCTCTCAATGCAGCAGCAGACCAGCTCAATATCCGCCGTACCCTGCAGTCCTACGAATTTGAGCCGGACGATGGGGGTACCCAAACGCCATAGTGAAGGTGTCTGAGACCTGAATGGTGTCGCACGATCCTCGTGGGAAACGAAGCGGTGGTGCTCACTGGGCTGAGAAGGATGGCGAACAACCGCAAGAGGAGTAGAAGGTCTGGACCGCTCTCTAGCTCGGGTTCCTCAAATGATACTACTTGGACCACCATGACATTCCCAAGAGTGAATGGATCACAGCTACAAGAACGCAAATGCTATGGCTTCTGCAATGGATCGTACGCAGTGTTGACATTTTTGTTTTTACATTTTTACATTTCCATGTAAAAACCGCTTTTTACAGCATTTAAAACACTTTAACACAGACTTTTTTACATTGTTGACGTAAAAAAGATCTACTTGAAGTATAAAACTCAGCTGGAGCCGACATGCCGTCATTCCTACACTTATCGAGTTCCCTGTCAAAAGCTGGGAGCTTGTGTCGCTCATGGAGTTGCTGCCCGACCATCAAAGCGATCTTGCAGAAGCCCCCAAGCGGGGTCGACCTCCAAGTTCTCTCAGCTCGAACTTCTACAGACTAAACGAGAAATGTAACAAGACCAGGTGGTGGACAATATGCAAGTACTGCTACGTTGCCCATGTAAATGACAAGGCCAGAGTCCCATTTCCTGTCAGCATTCACGGCCGAAAAGCTTCCTGGGAGAAGCATCTGTCTGATTGCAGTTACTACGTGCAAGCCACCGGCAAGTTACTGAATAAGGAGAGCGACACCAGCGAGTACGAGGTCAGCCGGTCTAACAAGCTGCAGTGTGCATCACCACCTGATTTTACTTCAGCAGAACAGCGGATGTTCTGGCGACTCTTACTGGAGTTCCAGGCGGAAGCGATGCTACCGGACTCTTTTGTGGAGTTAATGTCGTTCAAGCGATTGCTTACATTTCTGAACGCTCGATGTGGAGCTACTGGCGCCGTTCCAAGTCGCCACGTTTTAGGCGGGCGGGTTCTTAACGAGTATGCTGAACTGAGCAGCGTAATTACGTTATGGAAATTCAGAATCGAAGTGGTGCCAGAGTTAATTTTTTGTCGGATGTGTGGGAAAATATTGCAAAGCAGCATGTATTAGGCTGCCAAGTTGCTTTGTTTGGTCGAATGATGACACATGGGTTGGTGCCTACCGGTTCTCGTCACGATGGGCTAGCAATTGCCCAACAAATGGAAGATGTCATGGAAGAGTTGATTGCGTCTCAGTGGAATGTGGGCTCAGCCGTGACCGATAATGCTGGTCAATGCCGCAGAGCGCGAGGTATCTTAGCACTCAGATATCCCAATATTGTGTTTTTATTTTGCTTTGGCCACGACGTGAATAACCTCGTTAAAGCAGTTCTCAAAACTGTTTTTAAGCAGGTATCAGAAGCTGCTGCTGGTGCTGCGAGCTTTCTGAATACGTCTACCTCTAAATGGCTGACCCGAGCCATTGAGGCCATGGAGAATCGCTACGGAGACAGTTTTGCAGTTTTTACGTTGTGTGAAACGCGCTGGAACTCAATGCAGGCGTGCTTTGCGTCACTCCTACGCGCGCGCGGAGCTCTGGAAGACTTGTTTTTAAGTACAGGAACGACAGCGATCTCCCTTCTAAACTACGGATTTTGGCTGACAGTGAATTCTGGAACAAGTTGGAGAGCGCCGAGAAGGTTGTGCGACCTTTATGTACTGCATCGTTCCGCTTACAAAGAGATGAGAATACAGTCGCGGATGTTGTTCGCTCATACATGGACGTGTACATTGGTTTCGCTGCCACAGAGTGGAGTCATGTTCTTGTGGAATGTGTTGAGACTCGATGGAACGCGTGTGAGCAGCCATTGTTTATGTTAGGATATTTTCTCCACCCTCGATACGTATCCGAAGCAAAAAAGTTGCCTTCAACTGTCCTTATCCAGCTGGATGATATCTGTCAATTTACGCAATACTACTACCGACGATTTATCGGAGACGATGACAGCACCTTGCGTGGTGATGTGTTCGATTGGATAGAGGGGAGCTATACAACAAGCCGAGTGATAGACTTCAGCTCGGACTTGGTTGTAAAATTCTGGCAGTACGAAAGGAAGTCGAAGCCTAGCAGCAAGCTTCCGCTCTTGGCGCTCACCATTCTGGCGATAGCAGTAAACACAGCGACCTGCGAACGCCTCTTTAGTGAGCTTGCTCTCATACACACGCCAAAGAGAAATCAAATGGCGACTGAGAAGACCCTGAAGCATCAGGTCATGCGTCAGTATGTTCGCGAAAAGAATCGGAGTGAAAAGTCGGCACCTACCTCATCTAAAAAGCTGCTTCGGATCATTGATCCACGTGAACGACCGCGACTGGCAACTCCTCAACCCTCAGCACAATCTACTCCGGTCCAGGTCGCAGCCTCCATAACAGGTGCACCAGTTCCTCAGGCTTGCACTAATACCCCCGGTCACCTCCACCACGAAGCTGCAACTGCTTCGCCGGCTTTACAACGAACGTTGTTTCCTGCTGAAAGAGAAGGTGGCTCGAGTTTAGTGCGCAGCTCTTCTACACCAAGGTGTACCGCAACACCTGGACGTACACCGAGTGGAGGATCGATTGTCTGTCAGAATGTTCCACCAGTTCGCTCTCCAAATGACGGTACAAATGCTCACCTTTCGACTCCTGTCACAAACTCCGGTCCTTCGCTGACAACCGAAATGAACGCAGTCAGCCTTAGTGGAAGCCTGTTAGAAGAATATCTTGATCATTTTGACTGGGAAGAGTTTGGCGATGACGGAGACGAAGAGACGATTGGAGTGTGGGGCAGTATTCTCAATACGTCTAGAATCACAAGTCATGAAGGTAATGATGACGCAGATGAAAGAAGTTTTGGAACTTACAATGGTGGTGACCTAGATGGTGATGAAGACAAAAGTGCCAATCAAGGCAACCCTGGATGCAGTCGCGTCGGCACGTCGCGGTTCACAACAAAGCGAGGCACTTACGAGGACCTAATTCCTGCTGCTGACAGACGGCCATATCCCGAGACGAATGACCCAGCATTTCCACAAGAAAAGAAATTGACGGGGATCCGGGCTCGAAAAACATCGCTGGCCTCGCTTGTCGCTAAGTAGGTGCAGAAAACAACAAATCTTGAAGTGAAAATGAAGTTGTGCTTTCACCAAACCTCTTTAAACTGTATTTCAGCTGCTATTGGCAACGTCACCTTGTGTAGAACACTGCTTCTCATGGCTAAAGAGCCAAAACAGGGTGTAATATAACAGCAAACACAGCTTCGTCAGCGTACTCGTTAGCTAGACCAGTAAATCGCTCTCAACGAGTGGGACACCGGGCCTACCCGTGTGTCCAGCAAGACGTTGGCGTTAAACAGGAATGAAGCCATCGCTCGTGTTTACTTGAGCTACGTGCTCTAGCTCTGGAGATTCTCAATGACCGTTGTAGGCTCGTGGGTCATGAATGCCTGCAACATAG